ATGGTTTATTTATATTTAACTTAAAGCCAGTTGACACTTGGTTTATTTATATTTAACTTAAAGCCAGTTGATATATGGTTTATTTATATTTAACTTAAAGCCAGTTGATATATGGTTTATTTATATGATGCATGATCTCCCTATCGTTTATATACCTTTAAATTTACAGGTATAGTTTGTGTTGAAAGAAATGTTCTATTTGTAACGTGTAATAACTGCTGAAGTACGGTTCAGCAGCTAAAGAGGGCTCCACTGGTGCAATAGTGTTCCTATAATGTAGTTTTAACAACATGTAAAAAATGAACATCTTTATATTTTATTTCATTACAGTTCACGTGGTCAACGGATAGTACTGAGTTCAGTTTAGCAGCTTACTCGGGAAGTAGCGTAACAATCACTAATGAACATCTGGTTGGTGGTAAATCATACGCTATTTCCGTTTCCGGTAAGTGTAACTAGGGTTAGCGAAACCTTGAGTAATGGTAAACCAAACACCACCGCCTTTTCCGTTTCTGGTAAGTGTAACTAGGGTTAGCGAAACCTTGAGTAATGGTAAACCAAACACCATTACTGTTGTGGACTAGTCTAACTACGTGCAGGGAAAGTATCATCTGCTTATGATAATGAAGAACTCTACGGTCACAAACAAAGATGATAATGTAAGCTTCGAAGAGTGAAGTTTGATTGGTTAACGAAGTGTATTTTACTTATTGTGATACTTGTGAAACTGTAGTACTAATATCTAATGAAAAATGACGTAATTTACAGTGAAAACAAACAAAACGACTGCTTGGGCGATTTATTTATAATTAATTCTAACCATGAATATACAGGAATACGTGGTTCAAATGTGGACTGGATACAGTGTCTCAATATATGGGATACATTGTTTTATACGTCACTGTTTTCATTAATAAATCGTAAATAAGATATAAGAAGATTATGACGTAAGTGTCTCAATACATGGGATACATTGTTTTATACGTCACTGTTTTCATTAATAAATAAGATATAAGAAGATTATGACGTAAGTGTCTCAATAGATGGGATACATTGTTTTATACGTCACTGTTTTCATTAATAAATAAGATATAAGAAGATTATGACGTAAGTGTCTCAATAGATGGGATAC